ACAAGGAGAAGCAATTAAATTAGGTTCACCGTTATTGCCTTAGAATAATAAAAACTTAAATGTACAAGTGATAAGCAGCGATGGCTTCACTTTACATGTACAAAACTGATCTTTTATGATCACTTTCATGGCAATCTATCAATTCTAAACTTACCTCCCTACTTTTGTGTGGCAAATCCCCAGGACCGGTTTCCACCTAGGGAAATGCAGAACAATTTTTTAGAAAAGATTTGTTTATTTATTTGAAAGGTGGAGTGGCAGAGAAGGAAGGGAGAAAGACGGGAGGGGGAAAAGGGAAAGGAAGGGGGGAAGAGAGAGAGTGAGAGAGCAAGAGAGTGAGAGGTCCTTCATCTACTGGTTCATTCCCTAACTGGCTGCAGCATCCAGTCCAGGCTGAAGCCAGAAGCCAGGAACACCACTGGGATCTCCCACATGGGTGGCAGGGGCCTAAGTACTTAGGCCATCTTCTGCTAGCATCAGCTTGGAGCTGTATGGGAAGTGGAGCAGCTGGGACTCAAACTGCACTCTAGTATGGGATGCAGTTTAACCACTGGCACATTGTTGGCCAAAAAAACCTATCAACAGTAATCCATAACAAAACAGCCAGAGATTTAATTCCACTAAAAATAACTGTACTCCCAAAAGCTTTTGATTATCTGTCTCCACTATTTCTCCACTATTTCTGTCTCCACTATATTGGGAATTATTTCTCCAATGGCATGAAGGGTGCTGGGGGAAAAGTGGGTCATGTAATTCATGAGCTGAAGTTTTTCACTTACCTACCAAGTTTTAAAAAGGATTTCTTGATCTCTAATTCCAACTGTGGCTAGAAAATTGTATTTATATATCCTAGTCTATTTCATGTCAAAGGTATTAGTTTTTAGAGAAACTAAAAGCCTTGTATCTTAATTCAATGTACTATCCCAGAGGATAAAGATTATTTTCCAAATTTCTTGATTTGGGTGGTTAAACCTCTTAGTATCCACTTCTTGTTAGGTCACAGAAACTTATTTTTAGTAATTTAAAATAATCTACAGTGTGAGCATTTAGCTTACTGTGGGGAGCAACTGGGAGCAACTCGGACTAGACTAAGTTACTGGAATTAAGACTTATTCTATGCATCTGCTCTCCCACAATATGGCGCTGGGAGAGGAGGAAACAGCTTCTACACAGCTGCCTCCAGTTCAACCAATAAACTGTAGGACCTGCTCCTGATTGGAGGAGAGCAGCGTACTCGGCGTGTGGGTAACAGAGATGGGATTGGCGGAAGAGGACTATAAAGGAGGAGAGAGACAACATGCACCAGGAACATCTAAGGGGAACACCTGTGCAGCCCCCGAGAGAGCCGGCCGGCGGTGTGCCGCTCCCCCGCGGAAGTGGGGAAAGTGGCTAGGGGGAACCGCCCTTCCACGGAGGTGGAAGGGTCGGTAGCCAACCCGGGAAGAACCAGCAGCAAACCCGGGGAGGGCCGAGCAGACAAAAGAACAGCGCAGGGTCCTGTGTCGTTCCTCCGTGAAGAGGGGGAGCGACAATTTACAGTGAAGATGTCCCATATCAGAATACCTGAGTTTGATTCCTGGTTCCAGCTACTGACTTCAGTTTCCTACTAACGCAGACCTGTGGAGACTGCAGTAATGGCTCAAGTAACTGGGCTTCTACTACTACTAGGAAGGAGGCCTGTATCGAATCCTGAGTTCCCAGCTTCAGCCCTAGTCAGGTAAATTGTGGGCATTTGAGGAATGAACTAGCAGATGGATGCTCTCTCTCTCTCTATTTAACTGTCTCTTATAGGAAGAGAGGAAGGGAATAAGGGAGGGAAGGAAGCAAAAGGTAATTCGGGGAACAAGACAAAATAAGGAAGGAAATAAGATTATTCAGAGCAAAGGATTATGACTCCATATAATGAAAAATGCATCTCAATTTTATATTGGACTTATCTAATGCTAAGAGCCCAGGTATTTAATTATAAGCATTTAAATGTATAGCAATTTCTCTCTGTCTCTCTCTCTCTCACTGTCCACTCTGCCTGTCAAATAAATAAATAAATAAATGTGTAGCAGAGTGGCAGCTATCACTAAGGTTAGGAGGACATATACATTCTCCTGCAATTAACAATGATGCTGATGTGAATGCCAATGTGAAAACAACTCAAGAAAATCACAGCTGTGCTCACTCGCTGCCAATCATCATGCTAAGGGGTTTACACGTGTCCACTGTGCTCCTTAAACCCTACAACAAGATTGTAACTTGGGCTTCATTACTCTCAGGTTTTGCTGCTGGGGAAACTTGCTCACAAGAGACCTCAGTCCATTATCCAAACTCAAAGACTTTGTAAGGAACAGGACCAGCTTATCATCTAACTTGGAGGATGATACAGATGCACGTCAGAAGTAAACAGAAGGAGCCGGCACCATGGTGCAGTAGGGTAACCTTCTGCATGCGGCGCTGGCATCCCATGTGGGCACTGGTTCTAGTCCCGGATGCTCTTCTTCCCATCCAGCTCTCTGCTGTGGCCTGGGAAAGCAGTAGAAGATGGCCCAAGTGCTTGGGCCCCTACACCTGCGTGGGAGACCTGGCGGAAGCTCCTGGCTTCAGATCAGCGCAGCTCCAGCCGTTGCAGCCAACTGGGGATTGAATCAACGGAAGGAAGACCTTTCTCTGTCTCTTCCTCTCACTGTCTGTAACTCTTACCTCTCAAATAAATAAATAAAAAATCTTTAAAAAAAAAAAAAACCGTAAACAGAAGAGCAGAAGGCACGCTTAGCTGAGTTACATTAGTTTAAAAACTAATCATTTGCCAAAAGGTCCCAAGATGCTCCTGCTCCCTGCCCTCTACTTTCCCAAATCCTCCATTCTGCAGATGACTTGAACAAAATGATGTTCAGCAGTGCTGGGTGAGGCAAGCTGCACATATGTGCCTGCATGCCTGCAGAGCTGCAAGCCATACCTGCAATGCACAGAGGCCTTCTAATTTTGCTCTTCCTATTCCAGGCAACTGGGCAAGCAGTGAGCAAGTACTGGAGGAGCAGAGGGTCACTGCTCCGCTGGCAATATGGAAACTGTTGCAGTTATCTTGGTTATGCAGGATTGATGCCATGCTCCAGAAGGCCCTGGATCACCTCGAGATTCTTCCTCATGCAAGCCATCCTCAGAGGAGTCTTAAGGCCAACCAGAACAAGCTGAGGGAAGGCAGCTGAGACAGTAGAAGCAGTCAGATTTTCAGAAAATATACATTATTTGGCACTATGGGATTGATGGGTCTGGGAGGCAAGAAAACAGCTTTGACTGGCAACTGGTCTGCCTGGTATGAGAACCCCAGGATAAATAACAGCAAAAACAACTGTGCTGAATGTGTACCTGCAAAGGGGTACCTGGGAGGCAAAGCTGCTTACAAGACTCCATCTTCTGGCTGTGAAAGATGTATTTCATTTCACGTATAACTCTGTCCTCTGTCTCTTATTTATATCACACCAGGCATCACTTGAAGGCAGGGACTTCACGATGCTGTGAACCTAAAGAGGTACTTAAGCGAGTACTAAAAACCTTATCAATCTAACAAACAAAATGGAATTGGTGTAGTGGTGCAGTAGCCTATCTTGATTGTGGTAGTGGCTATGCAAGGCTACCCAGGTGATAAAATTGCTCAGCGTGCTACACACTTACACATGCCATGTATAACTGATGGAATCTGAATAAGTGTATTGACTGAAGAATGCCAATTAAAACAATTGCTGAAGTAGTAATTAAGCTCTATGTCCCCAGAAGAACATTGCATTGGGGGCCACGTGTAGCTTGACAACATTTTAAAATTATATTCTATATTGTTCTCTACCTTACACGGAGAAATGATTGACCCAACCAGCCAGCTAACCCCACACGGGCAGGAATGAAGTAGGCTGTAAGTCAATTTCACTTTAGGGGAAGGTTGGGGCAGGGGAACCCTGCCATTGAGAAGGCCTGGGTAGAGAACCAGGAGCTGAGAAAAGCTAATGATGTCGGAAGAGATGAATGAAGTACACAGAAATCTACGTTTCCACAGGCAGTAGACAGGCGGGGCGTCTTTCTGGATCCTCGCCACCTACCAGTCGCCCTTCAATCCCGGTGGCCCCTAGAGACCGCCTCGTGCAGAGGCCGCTTGTAGTCTTGGTCATTGGCCTCGATGTCCTTGTCTCAGGCCTGGGGCAGATGGGTCAGGATGTCCAAATGCCCGTGGCAGGCGGCACAGCAACTCCTCGTGCTGGGCTTGCAGCCGGCCCTCCTGCAAATGCTTGCAAAGGCGCCATGGGTTCCCGGAAGAGACCGTCATTGCAGACCAGGCTGGACAAAGCTAAGAGTGGATAGGGACTTTCTCTTCTCGCAGGAGAACCCCTACCCACCAGCTTCTGTCTCCAGCACTGCGACAGCCCCCAGTGCCTTCACACCCTGACTCCTGCCCAAGGCCAGGAAGAAACAGTTCAGAGCGCAGGGTGCTTGCTGATTCTTCAAGGGGGCCAGGCAGTCGACGGTGAGCACTCTCGGGGTTGCTCTGCGGCGTGCTACCTGTCAAGTGCCTGTCAAGTGTGCTTGCCCTAAAGCACGGAACTCACGCACGTCGGGGCTCCGGGCGCCTCCGCAGTCCTGGAGCTTGCTGCACAGCTGTGAGTTGGACCCAAAATGTCAAAGAGTGAGGATGGGGGCGTCGCCCTACCGCAAAACCCGCAAGCGCGACGAGGAGGCCCGCCAAGCCCACATGGCCTTTTCCACCATAGCCTGCCTGACAGGGAACTGCCCAGGGATGACTGCTGGGCGGCCGACCCCTGGACGTGCAGCCGCTCCTGCTTGCATGAACCAGCCCGCTGCCCGACCCGCTAGGCGCATGGGTGGTGTTCCATTGCTCCACCTTCTCCCAACCCCTTCAGCAGCACTCTCCGCCTCCTCGCCTGCCCGCAGACCGGGGGACCAGCGGAGCTCGAAGGAACTCTGGGAAAGTTGCCCCTCTCCTCGGGGGCCCGACCGGAAGCTCAGACCAGGCGTGGTGCGCCAGTGACGGCCGCGCCCCCTTTGGAGCGCATTTCTATTGGTAGCGGCGGCTGACCGTCAGCGCGCCCCTTCCGGTTGCCCGTCCCGATTGGCTCCAGAGGCGATCCGTCGGCTCGGGCGGCGGATGCTACACTCGGCTGCTGCGGGGTGGGGCACGCGGAGGAAGTCGGCGGCTGTCAGAGATCACGGTCCAGCCTGGAGGAGGAGCTGGGTGGTTGGAGACGCTGGGCTGTGGGGCCGGCGGCGGTGGCGGCAGCGGCAGCAGCAGCCCCAGTCCGGAGCGCCATAGTGCGTGAGGCCGCGGACGTGGCACGGAGTGCGGGCGGGTGTCAGCCGTGCGCGGAACTTACCCTTGTGGGGGTCCTGCGCTGGGGTTCCGGTCTCGGGGTGGGGGTCAGTGGGTCTGCTGGGAGAGCCCGGCCAAGCCCTGGCTGAACCTGGGTGAAGGGGCGCGGCCCCGGCCGGCAGCGGGCAGGTGGAGGGCGCTGCAGGCTGTGCATCGAGGCGGCTGGGGTTCCGCGTGAGCTCGGGCCAGGCCCTCGACCCCTCACTGCTCCGTGGGGCCCAGAAGGGGTAGCTCGGGGTTTCTCGGCGACTGGAAGAGGTGGCACGGTAGACGTGGCCGCAGCTGTTGGCAAGCCCGGCTTTCGTTTTGTATTCCGATGTTTTGACCTTGGGCGAGTGGTTTTTTGTTGCCTTGTTTGCCCTTGCTTTTTTTGGTAGCCTCCTCCCTCCTTGTCCGAAGATAAGGTGATGTGGGAAGGCCTTGGACTTTTGGGCTACACTGAGCTCTTAAAAAAACAAACAAACAAAAAGACTATGGGTGATTGAAGAGATTTGGGTAGGTGTTGACGTTCCTTACCTGACCTTATGGATAGTGGTTGTTTGCCTCTTGATGTTGTCAGCTCCTTTAGAGGGTAAGAGGAGAGTTGCTGCTTTGTGCCTGGGTTGTAAACAAATACCCTTTACATTTGATATTGCACTCTGTGGTTTGCAGAGCACTTTACATGAATTATCTCATCCGCAAACGATCCTGCAGAGCATCGCTCTGGTTTTACAAGTGAGGGAAGTGGGCCTTCTTGAGGTTAGTAGTTGATTCTTTCTATATTATAAGTGCGGGCAAGAAGATCTTCTGGAAGGAAAGGTGGTAACATCTACAGAGTGTCCTACTGCCTGACACTGCAGAAATAGGCAGAGATAAAGAGAGATCTCTGGTAAGGGTCAGTGAAAGGAAGCCAGTCAGTTTGGTTAACTTCCTGAATAATATGTGCAGTCACTGGGGACAGAATAAGTCCTAGTTACCAGCTTTGCCAAAGTTACAGTTTCATTTATCCTGTCACTCTCCACCCACTCCCCAAACTCTCCTCCCCAAAAGTAGGGAATGAGTAAAGGTGCTTTGAAATGTGCAAACTTTTAGGACATGCCAAGCAGTGTTCTTACTGCTTGCTCTTGGAGTCAGTGCAAATTGGAAGTTAAGGCATCCAGGAACTTCATACTTTTTTTTGCTATTAATCCTCCTCTCCATCCCCATGGTTCTAATTATAAATGACCTTCCTTTGCTTGCTTCATGTCTCCAGTTTCCTTTGATTTTTCAGCAAAATTGAGATACATGGGCCGACAGTCAGATGGAATATAGAAAATGTAGGACAGTTTGCTACTTAATTGGTGTTCCAGATCCAATTCAACTTCTCCTGTGTTCTTTATAAACGTCTTTTGGCCTGTGTCCCCTCTTTGGATAACAGGAAGATTCAGTATGTGACTTCACACAGTCCCTGTGGTTTTCCTGGAGCACAAGCTTGGTCTAGGGAGAGGATCTGCAAGTAAGCGAAGAGACAGGTGGAGCTTTTCCCAGTTGGACTACCCTTTTCTTTGGGACTTTGTGGTTTGACCTTATTGTCCATTTCACATGGCGTTGTGGTTGGTGTTGTGATTTGTTACCTGGATGTCTTTCCTTTTTTTCATGTTGCATTTCCTGAGCATTCAGCTGTGGCCACTGGAATACTGATTGGTTGACATGTTTTGTGATTTGTGAGTGTGCATAGACACCAAACACTCTCATGAGACTTAGAATTCTAATTTCAGATTTGTTGCCAACATATTTGCTCTGCTTACTACATTTCTGTATCCCTTATAGGCTGATTTGTATTTGGAAGCTGAACTTGGATTCAGTTTTACTGTTCTGGTTGTGAAATTACTTCTAGAAATTTGTCTATTACCAAAGCATCACAAACCTTACATCTTCATCTATCATTCACATGCCTTTTGAAGACCAGTCTCCTATTGCATAATACTTCCTGGAGCTTAACCTAATATTCCATAGATATCTTTAAAACAGGAAAAATAGTTAGCATCCCCCTCACTCCAGAAAAGAGCAATTAAAACAACACTGTTTCTCTTTTATTCTTATAATAGAAATATGTTATCTCTTCTGCTCTTTCTTTTTCTCCTAACAGTCCTGTCAGAAAGGCTTCTTGAGACTCTGCCCAGTTGCCCTCTGCCCAATTTCTGTTGCTCTCCGGCCTTTACCGACTCTTGCCTAGGTTGGTACAGTGATTTTATGACTTGTCTTCCTGACAACTTGCATGTCTGTTCGTCCTCTGTGAATGACTAGGTAATGACTCTTGTTGAAAACTGGGTGAAACCTTGAATGGCCTACATGATAAAGTGCAGTCTCTTTAGCAGTGTGGTTAAGGACCTGTGTAGTGGTAGCTCCAGATTCTTCCAGATGTGTCTCCCATCATTCTTCATCTTGGAACCTCGTGTTCTGACAAAACCCACCTTTTTGGCCACACCAAAGCTTTGTTATTTCTCCATATTTTTGCACATATTGGTTTTTCTGCCTAACTGAATCCCATTCATTTTTCAAGGCTCAGCTCTTTATAAAACCTTTTGGAAGTTCTTCAACTCAATGTACTGTTCCAGTTCTTTAACTCTTATTTGCTATTTATTTGTCTGCTTTGGTTTATTACCATGCCATTTCATGGATGCATTTATCTAATATTTACAGTGCCTATGTTTAATAATCTGTGTTTGTTTTGATAGCCACCTTGTGTTCAGGCTTATTCATTTGTGTGTCCTCAGTGTCTAAAATGATTTTTAACACCAAGGATACTGCAAGAGAAAGCCATCATGGAGTTTATAATTAATCTGGGGCAGAGTAGACACTGAAAAGTGGTTATGGAATCAATTGTCAATAGAGAAAGCCTTTAAATATATACAAATATGTCCTGGACAGTAAATAGTAATTTCTTTTTTTGCCACTTCTTCCTATCCTTGCAAGAAACATACAGTGTGAAACCCTTGCTCACTATAAAGAATGAGTGCTGTCTTTCAGGGTGTGAAATGGACATTTCAGGTTTAGAGATAAACAGGATACGGTGGCTGGCAAGTGGCTGAGTCAGCAGTGAATACCCAGGGAAAGAGCTACAAGAGGCAGTTTGTTTTCTTTCTACATGTTTTTAGAGCTAATGCGAACAAAATATTTGGAAGTTTTTCCCATTTTGAGTCTACAGTACTTAGTGGTATTCTCCTTATAGTTACATCTTCATGTTGCGTGCGTGACCTATCTCCCAGATGTTTATGGTGGTTCCACTTTCTCTGGGCTCAATTTTCACATCTATAAAATGGGTTGGAAAGTGAGATTAGGCCTAGGATTTCAGAAATAAATGGCATCCACAGCAAAGAAGAACATGAGAAGGAAAGTGAAATGTACATCCCACACATAGCTGAGCCACAACTTACCATCATCCAGGTTACATCAAGTTACTTCTCACAGGGAAATTTTGTTAGAAATTCCTGAAACTGTGATATGATCCAGCTTTGGGCAAGCATTTTTTTTTTTCTCTTTTTAGAATGAAAATCTGTGCTACAATCATTGCAGATTCTGCATCCTTGCTGTTTTCTTTGTGGAACATTTCTCATTGATTCTTTTTGTATTGAAAATATATTTTTATTTTGCTTACCTAGACAATTTCAAAATACAAATCATATATAATATGCAGATATAACAGAAGAATAAATATAAACGCATGTGTATGTAAAATGTCACTGAGTTCAGTTTTCTTTCTGAATCCTTAACTCAAGAGGATTCAGTGGGCTCAATATGTCTTCTGCCTTGCTTGGCCTACTTCCAATCATGCAGAGCACCTATTGTCAGAATTTTCTGGAGCTCAAATGCAGATGCCTTCCCTGTGGACATCTCTCAAGTCAGAAGGAGCATTGTGCAATGGACAGCCTTGGTTGTATTACTATCCTCTCTAAACTACAAGTCAGGATGACGCATGGACTAAACAGGCCAATAAAGTAGCCTCAATAAATGTCATAATGAAATACAAACGCTGGCCTGAAGCCATCAGCCTTTCCTGAGAGAGCTTTACCTGCTTGGACTTTGGGAAGCTGGCCCCTGAACCTGAGTTGGCAGCAGGTGGGTGGATGGATGGCATCCTCCTGAATGCTCAGTGATCTCCTGGCTTCTACGGCCCCCCAGGCCAGGCACAGTTAGATCACATCAGGGACGTGTGGTTATCCTGTGGCTTTTTCTGGGCACCCAACTCCTCGAGTCTCTTCCTCCTTAGGTAAACAGAGGTGGTTCCTTTGCTCCAGACTTAGTTGGGCTGGAACACCCCACCACGAGTTTCAGAGGTCAGGTGGTAGTTTTCTGTGTCTTCCTCTCTGCTACTGGTGCGCCCAGTCATTGGCATTGCTTCTGTGGTTTCCATTTCAACACCAGGTGGCTGGGAAGTTTGCCTGCAAAGCAGATGATTCACACGTTTTGAAAAGAGGAGAGGGTTGCCCTCAAATCAGCAGATAACTTCCTATTGAACATGGGTGTCCAGCACAGTGTGGAAGGCATTAGCAAACACATGCCCTGCCTGCAGGAATCACAAAATACTCGGTCTTTGATGGTGGTATTGCTCAAAGATCTAGAAAACCTAAAAGGCTTAAACTTCCAGATGGAATTTAAATACCATATTTTCATCCACCAGATTTACCAGTGCTATTGGGGCAGTTCACGTCTCTCCCACAAGCTCCTCATCCCCACCCCTTGTTGAAAAGCACTTCAAATGGCAGGGACAGGAAAAGGGAAGTGTAGCCAGGAGGCTGCTCTCACCACACTTGGTCATCTACATCATCCAAGCTCATGAAGGTTTTTAAACGGTTCTTGGTGCTTAGTAAGTGTTAGAAACAGACTAATCATCTCTTGAATAATGAGAGTGAGGAAGGCACAATATTTTGATTACACATTTGTGTGCCTGTCATGAAGCTGCCTCTCTGAGTAGCTGGGTCAGCAGCACCTTCTTCTCTGGCTTACAGAGTCTCTCTTCTACAGAGAAGCAACTTTTTAGGCCATTTTAAGGGAAGTGATTTGAGCCCCTTCGAGTGAAAGCTTGGCTATAAATCAGAATCTTAGGCCAATTTGCTAAAAGCCAGTTTGTTGACTAGGATATCTGATAACCAATTTGCAAAATGCAGTTTACGGGAAGATTTAATTGACCAAATGACCAAATAATCATATTTACCAGATTTACCAAACCTTTTAAAAATACATTTACAAAAATATTTAATATAGTCAGTAAACACTGGTATTTCCTCTTGTGAGTACATTATTAGCTGTATATACCAAACTTACAAATTCTTTTTAAGAATATATTTTAATGTATTTATTACAAAGATGACATATAGATTCATTTTAATATAGCTAGCTATAATCTAAGAATATAACTCTACATTCAGCTTTTTATATGGAAATTATTCAGCAATGATATTTTGAAAATCCTTTTGAAAGTAATTTCATCTGTATTTTCAACATTTGGCATTTAAGAGGTTTTTTAGATAAATTTTTGAGTAATTTATTAACCTTAGTTCATTAACTTCTGAGCTACTACCTAAGATATTGATGGCATTTTTTATTGGTTGGTCTGGTATTAACAGCTTTTGAAGATTTATGTGAACTTTTAAAGACTGGTTTTCATTTTTGGCTTTACGATAGAATTTCATGGAATGTTCATTTTGTAAAAATTAGGCTCAAAGTGTCCTATACTTTTATAGTGACATCATATTTAATATTTTATAACTAGTCAGTAAAATTTTAGTTTCAACAGACCCAGAGCAACCACATCGATCTGGAAGGGTGAGATCTTGGTCACCACCTGAAAGAAGTACACAATAAGGCTAGCACTGCTGCTTCAGTCTTTAGTGAAAAAAGGATCAAAATGCCTAAAGATTGGAAAAATAATTGAAAAATTATTTATTATTTAATATAGTCAGCAAATTGATATTATTCTCTGTAAGCATATTTATTGGCAGCATACAACCAATTTGTACACTTTTTAACAATCTATTTTAATGTATTTGTCATTAAAAATGATCCTTATACATACCATCCAGTGGCAGAAACTTGTCATAAATGTTGAAATGCAGAATTTCAATTATTTGACAAAATTAAGGTTAACACGATTGAGGATAAGAAAATATACACAAAATTAAGAGTGCATTCAAGGAGAGTATACTATATTCATGAATATATCACCTGAAGAATTGGCACACAGTGCATGTTCATCAGACTGGCCACTAGGGGCACTCTTTCTTTCTAAATTGAGTATTGGTAGATTGGCCTCCTGCAGCATTATCTGCCGCCCCCATCCCACCTCCCTCCCCCCCCCCCCCAGTTCCAACCAGTGGCCTGAGAACTGTGTGACAGATTAAGGACCCTCTAGGGCTGGCTCAGTGCTCAGCTCTAATGCTCTCTTTGGCTAAAACAGAGGTGGATGAGTGTGAGAATCTAGTCACAAAGGGATTCTTCCTTTGAGAAATCATCCCAGAATCATGATGATACGGCTATTTATTCTTGGGAAGGAGAGATTTAGTCCTGTGGTTTCTGCTGTGCTACTCACCTTGGTCTGAGGCAATACGCCAGGAGGAACCCCACACACACTACACCCAGCAGCGAGACAGATGTGGAGATGGCCACTGTAAAAGAACAGAACAAAGCTGGAGCCATGCTGAGAATCCTAAGAACTCATTCATTTCTACGCACTGGAAAATCCTGTATGTCCTACATTCTTGCAGAGAAATCCAAATGCTTTCCCAATAGGCTCACCATTATTAACATTTCTTGAGGGCCTCATAGCTTGCTCTACTCTATTTCTGGGCAAAAATATGCCCTCTTCCCTGTGGACACTGCCAATGCAACCCATCCCCAGCTGTGTTACCCCACACCCCTGCTCCTGATGCTTGTTCTTGCTGAGTAAAGTGACTGTGAGCAGGGATGGGTAGGAGGAAAAGGAGGCGCCTCCAAGCCAAAGCTGGGTGATAGGAGGTAGAGAGGAGGAGGAGAAGGAGGGGGTGGTGGCTAGCCCTTCCAGAAGAGCAAGAGTTCCTTCCTGCCACTGAAACCAAAGTGAAAAGAAGATGTCTCTGTTCTTCAACTTCACAGATTTAAGAGCTGCATGCAGTGCCACTTTCCTTCCAATTCCATCATCTTTTTAGATTTTTAAAAAAATTATTAAACTTAATTTGAAAGGCAGAGAGACAGAAACAGAAAGATCTCTCCTCCACTAGTTCACTTCCCAAATGCACCCATGTAGGACACCTGGAAGAAGCTCCTGGCTCCTGGCTTCATATTCGCTCAGCACCAGCTGTTGTGGCCATTTGGGAAGTGAACCAGTGGATGGAAGATTCTCTCTCTCTCTCTCTCTCTCATTCTCTCTCTCTCTCTCCTTCTGTATTTCAATAGTTAAAATAAATCTTAAAAAAATGATTGGGCTCCTACCACCCATTTGGGAGACCTGGATTCAGTTCCTGGTCCCCTCCACTGGCAATTGCAAGCATTTGGGGACTTGGCCAGTGGAAGGGACTGGATCTCTTTCTCTTTCTCTCTCTAGTAGGTAAATAAAAGTTTTTAAAAAAATCCGGTTGAGATAGACATGAATCCCAATCTCCAACAAGCCTTGTGAGTGTCAATATTGCACAGAACGGGCTAGAGAAATATACAGTACACCAGAGTACTAATGATGGCATTACATATCATCTTTAATTTTAAACTTCTTTCTCATTTTTAATGACTAATCAGAAGATCAAAACTATATAAACAAAGCAAGCAACATTTAAGTAACTAAAATCAGCATAGAAAAGTTGCTACTGTAACAGAAAACATGCAAAAGTAAGCAAAGATGTTTTGAGCTCTCAGACTTAACATTAATCATCATTATGACTTTAAAAAAAGAATTGTTTTCAGAACTTTTGTACTCTATGGGAAGCTATGTCTTCATGTTCACTAACAGGTGTGGCATGCATTTACTGCTAGGAGTGTTTACTGGAAAGGGCAAGTTGATGAAAGCTGTAGCTCTGCTTTCACAATGCTTCCTCCTGGTTCCTGTTAAATGAGAATAAAATTTGCAGGGCTCCCGGGCCAATGACAAAACAAAGCAATTAGACTTAGGTGACAACCTCAGACTCTTAGCCTCTTCCTCACTTATAGCCAAAGCAAATTCAATAATGAGATTCAAACCAAAATCACCAAGATAATGAATGAATACATCACTGGTCAGGTTCTCTACCCTTTTGTGTTTCCAAGGCAATGTGGACTGCAGAAAAAGGAAAAGAAAATTTGGTGAGATAAAGGGGGGAGGAGAGAAAGTAGAGAGAGAGAGAAGAAAATGTTGATTATGATGCAGCAATAGATACCCCCCCCCCCCCCGACTTCAGTCTATAGTCCAGACTGAGACTAGGACAGAGAAGGCAGGCGAGACTGCCAGTGGCCAGTATTTGGCACGGATGGTGGAAATATCCTCTGAATACATGGAGAGTAGTCATTGCTTAGCAATACTGACAAACTAGGCCAGTCGTGGGGTAGCAATCACTGTGACACAGCGCTGGTGTACCTGCGGCAAATGAAGGCAGTTTGGATGGAACAGCATTGCATCAATTCATTACTCAGTTGATCAAAGTAAGCCTTTAACGTTCTGTGAATGAAGTAAATTGGAAGGGACTTTTTTTTTTTTATGAGAAATCCGCATTTCATAGCAGCAAAGCACCAAACTAGGTCTAGAGTAGGAAATGAGCAGATGAGTAAGACAAGAGATAGCTCTGTCAACAGCTGAGCAGGTTGGCTGTGGCAAGTTTATTTCAAATATAGAGAAGTAGAGGAATCCTAATTTTGAAAAACACATGCTTCATTCCTAGTGTACTCAGTGAAGGTGGCAGTGTTGCACGCTCACCTTTTATTTTATAATTGGGAGCCTTGAACAACAGCCTAGGTAGAGACTGGAGAAGAGATATTGGAATAATCCAACAAAGTTACTGTCAAAAAGTACTGTCAAGTGAACCAAGGGATATTTAAGACAATGAAACTATGAATGACATTTCTTAAATGTTTATTAAATTCACTTATCCATTTGCTTACTCATTCCATATTTATTGAATATTTTCTGTTGAATTAAAAAAGAGCAACTTTTAAAAGTAATGATCATTTAAATACCTTATTTGAAAAACAAATTATGATACTAGTGTATCAATGGGTTCACTGAAAATCCATTAATTTATTGAGTAACCACTATGGTAAAGCATTATTAATATTTTCCTAGAAAGATAAGCTCAACTGACTGCTAATTCATGCAGAAACAATGACACTCAGGAGCCAGGGAGTATCTCAGCCCATATAAAGTGATGCCTGCACACTGTTGGGTGTTGGGGTAGCTGGGACAGACATATGTGACATATCGTAATGGCACCTTCACTAAGTGCTTTCAGAAAACTAGCATGATTTTAATTTCTACCTTATGAGTAGAAAAAACTTAAATCACATACAATGAAACAGATTTTATTTTCATCTCTTTGCTGACAAGTACTTGGTTCTCTTCACCTATCTTTTTAAAATTTCTGAAGATTTATTTATTCGTTTGAAAAGCAGAAAGAGAGAGAGAGAGAGAATCTCTTACATCTGCTAGTTCATTCCCCAACTGCCCACAACACCCACCAGTGGGCAAGACTGATGTCAGGAGCTAAGAACTCCAACTGGGACTCCCATGTGGGTGACAGGGACCCAAGTACTTGAGACATCACCCACTTCCTACCAGGTGCATTAGCAGGAAACTGGATCAGAAGTGGAGCAGCTGGGGCATGAACTGGCACTCCCATATGAAATGTTGGCATACCAACCCACGGTGGCATGACACCAGCCCCTATCTTTTTATTTCAGCAGTCTGAAGGAAAAAAAATCTCACACATGAAATATTTTGGTTTGTTTTTTCTTTAGTCCTCTGTATTTTCACAATTCCTTGCATGCAACTATCTTTGCCCATTGTAGTTGTTCAGTTAATGTTTATTACATTTCAGAATTTGGGAGATAGCATTTTTTTTTATTTATTTGAGAAGCAGAGAAAAGGAGACAGACAGAGAAATAAGCTCCCATTTGCTGGTTTACTCCACAAATACCTGTAACAGCCAGGGCTGAGCCATGCTGAAACTGGGAGCTGTGAACTCAGTCCAGGTGGCAGGAACCCCATTACTTAAGCCGTCACTGATGCAGACCCCGAGGGTCGGCACTAGCAGGAAGCCAGAATCAGGAGCTAAAGCTAAATATCAAACCCAGGTACTCCTGTATAGGACAGGGACATTTCAACTGTTAAACTAAACACCTAGCCGGCGCCGCGGCTCAATAGGCTAATCCTCCGCCTTGCGGCGCCGGCATACTGGGTTCTAGTCCCGGTTGGGGTGCCAGATTCTGTCCTGGTAGCCCCTCTTCCAGGCCAGCTCTCTGCTGTGGCCAGGGAGTACAGTGGAGGATGGCCCAAGTGCTAGGGCCCTACACCCGCATGGGAGACCTGGAGAAGCACCTGGCTCCTGCCATCGGATCAGTGTGGTGTGCCGGCTGCAGCGCTCCAGCCGCGGTGGCCATTGGAGGGTGAACCAACGGCAAAGGAAGACCTTTCTCTCTGTCTCTCTCTCTCACTGTCCACTCTGCCTGTCAACAAAAAAAAAAAAAAAAGTAAAAATAAAAAACAAAACTAAACACCTGCCCTGGAATAGATTTTGATATTTTAATCCAGTGAAAGTCATCAACTGGAAAAGCAGATTATAGATTGTAACTCATAATCAAATACTGTTTGAAAAATCTATGTAGCCAAAAATGGACATTTTTAAAAAGAGTTATGCATTTATTTAAAAGGTAGAGCAACAGAGAGAAGGAGAAATAGAGATCTTCTGTCCACTGGTTCAGTCCCCATGTCCATAACAGCTGGGACCCATCCAGGTTAAAGTCAGGAGCCAGGAACTCACTCCATCCTGGTCTTGGATGTGTTTGCCAGGGGCCCAAGCACTTGAGCCATCCTCTGCTGCTTTGCCAGGTGCATTAGCAGGGATCAGAAGTGGAGCAGCTGAGACTCGAACCAGCATTCCAATATTGAATGCCAGCATCGCAAGTGGTAGCTTAACCCACTACACCACAACATTGGCCCCTGGCCCCAGAATTTTTATTTTTATTTATTTATTTATTTATTTATTTATTTATTTATTTTGACAGGCAGAGTGGACAGTGAGAGAGAGAGACAGAGAGAAAGGTCTTCCTTTGCCGTTGGTTCACCCTCCAATGGCCGCCGCGGCCGGTGCGCTGTGGCCGGCGCACCGCGCTGATCCGATGGCAGGACCCAGGAGCCAAGTGCTTTTCCTGGTCTCCCATGGGGTGCAGGGCCCAAGCACCTGGGCCATCCTCCACTGCACTCCCTGGCCACAGCAGAGAGCTGGCCTGGAAGAGGGGCAACCGGGACAGAATCCGGCGCCCCAATTGGGACTAGAACCCGGTGTGCCGGCGCCGCTAGGCGGAGGATTAGCCTAGTGAGCCGCGGCGCCGGCCCCCTGGCCCCAGAATTTTACGTGTAGGATATCTTACAGATAAGACTGGCACATGGGGATTTTCCAGTCATCACATTTGTAATATAACCAACGAATGTAAACAATGACATATACAAAGAGGAGGCAAGCTAAACAAGCATGGCAAATCCATATTCTGTGGCAGTGAAAAAGAAAGAAGGGGATTTTATGCACTGATGTGGAAGGATCTCCAGGATACCTCATTAAGTGAAATTGAAGTACAGAACAGTAAAAGTAAAACAAGTGTCCAACGTCATTTAACCCCTGAGTACTTGTTTCCAGACTGCCTCTCTGGAAGCATGCCCTAAAATCTGGGAACAGGCGTTGCTTCCTTTCTACAAGATAATTTTTAGTCACAACTGAGAATTTTTTTACTATGTTTGTAACTTTATAAATATATATATATTATCTTTAATTGCTTTTGAAGTCTTCATTGTTAAAGATTTATTTATTTATTTGAAAGGCAGAGTTACATACAAAGAGAAAAATTTTCCATCCACTGGTTCACTCCCCAAATGACTGCAACAGCTGGTTCTGAGCCAGGCCAAAGACAGGAGCCTGCAATTCCATCTGGGTCTCTGTCTACCCACGTGGGTGGCAGGGGCCCAAGTACTTGAGCCATCTTCTGCCACATTCCCAGGCGCATTAACAGAGAAGTGAAGTAGCTGGGGGGGGAGGGGGAGCCAGCACCGGACCCTCCATTCCCTTTCTTTCTCCTGTTGCCTTCTCTGCACTTCCTTCTCCTCCCTTCTTCTTTTCTATTCTTACAAACACTTCCCATTTCCTCCTCATAGTCACTTGTCTGTTCCTTTCTTTTTCTCCTAGCCTTAACGTTGCACGTGTCTTCTGTAGGAGGAAGCTTTTATTCTGAGAAAAGTGGAGCTCCCTCTGTAAAGCTTACGGTGCCCCTGTCCTGTGGGAGATGAATGCAGCTGCTGGCAGAAAAATGGCAACAGTGGGCACGGGCAGTTTCCTGGACAAGAGTCCTGCATTGCTGAGCAGAAGTGAACCACGAGGCCCTTTCTGTGGTACAGCAGCTGTCTGGTTTCAACGTCACTAGCATGACAGGTAGCAGCGAGCAGTATGGACATAAGATGTCATGACAGACGAAGCTGTCCATTACCGAGATATCACAGAACGTAGTTGTTCTGATGGAGGCACTTCTGAGGGTGGAGGTCATGCCGGGCGGCAGGCTCAGAGCAGGACTGTTCAGCCTGCTGGCTCTGTGGTCACCCCAATCGTAAGCACGCCAGACAAAGGAGAGTACTTACCAGTGACGTCTCTGGAACTGTACGGATGAGCATCTGCAGAGGAGAGAGAACAGCCGAGTCTGGGCTGCAGTCCTTAAGGTACTAGTTTCTCACGGAGCCCAAGAAATTTGGGATATCTTGGCTCCCATCTTAGAACCTTGGGAGACCCACCAGTAGCATCACCAAAATCATTTCAGCCAAGAACACGCAGGAAACTCGCTGAGGTGCTGGGACATCCTTCCGAATTGGGCAAGACCTAAAGCAGGCCCAGAATCCCAAGAGCTTCTCTACCCCACAGACAATGTCTCCAGATGGCAGAATGTGTCCATCACCCTCCCATGGGGGTACAGTTCAGATGGGTGTTCAGAGCTGTGCCATGGGCTCTGCTGGGCAGCTTAATAAGGTTGGCCTCATCGCACTGCGGAGGTGGATTTTTCTTTTCCAGTTTTCCCAGCTGGACTAAGCCAGGCAGAAAGTGCACACCACGGGGAACAGAAACCAGGCAAAGGGGGCTGTGGCAGATGCAGAAGGCAGCAAGGCTGCTAGGTCAGTGCTGACTCTGGACTGAATGGTGCAAGATCCCTACCCAAATCTCAGAAGCAGGATGTGGGGAACCGGCCTGTCGCCATGCAAAGCTAGTGCTAACCTGTTGTCTCGTGGGAGGTGGAGGGCGTGGGTTCCAAGGTCTTTGTTGTTGTCTGAGATGGGGCTTGGGAGGACTCATGACTGCCTACCCCCGTGGTTCCTGTGGAAGGTGACGTGGATGGCATCAGCTGGGAGCCTGGTACAATAGCTGTCCCTGTGGCCACTGTGGTGTCTGACTCTGGAGAGAATGTGGCTGGGCCTGCAGGAGATTTCAAGATGGTGAGAACACAAGTATTTAGACTGGAGTCCTCTGAGTTCCAGCAGATGGGGAGTCTCAGGACACACTCCAGGGAGCCCACCCCCCAGCCCTGCCCCAGCATGATGCCCCCCTTCAGTGGTGACACATCCATGGCGATGGGGCTTATCAGTTACTTTTCATGGTGCATATATAGGAAGAACCCTAAAGAGCTGCATATTCAAGCTTGCTGCCTAGAGGAGACATTCACATGCTCAAAGACGTAGCTCAAAAACACAAGGGAGGCTGGCGTTGTGACGTAGCATGTAAGCGTGTAAAGCTGCCATCTGCATCCCACATGGGCACCTGTTCAAGTCCCAGATGCTCCACTTCCAATCCAGCTCCCTGCTAACATGCCTGGGGAAACAGAAGAAGGTGGCCCAAGTGCTTGGGCTGCTGCACCCATGTGGGAGACCCAGATGCAGCTCCTGGCTCCTGGCTTTGGCCTGGCCCAGCCCTGTCCCTTGTGGCCATTTGGGGAATGAGCCAGTGGATGGACTTGTGTTTGCCAAAAAACTAAGATTCTGGTTTTCTTTTTTACATGTTGGCAAACACTTTTTGAAATATGGGGAAGCCTGAGATTTGGCTTGTCTGAACTCAGTGGTGTGTATTTGAGGGATATATCCTGATTTAGCTTCGGTCTCAGGGAGGGAGACTGCCTTGCCCCTTCTTGGCGGATGGCTGCCCCTATACTGTTAAGTAAGGTGTGGCATAGCTGTTTCCTATCTTGTCTCCATGGCAACTGGGTCTTCTGACAGATACAGAACTTAGAAAATACAGCCTTAGAGCAAAGCACCTGGTGAGGCCAAGCATCACAATGCTCTTGACACGTGATTGAAGCCTGTGTCCCCATCCTCTCCCAGCCACCTACATGGTGAGAGGTCCCCTACAATTAACCCTTCGTTACGGCCTCACATGCCCCTCACCTTACTCTAGCTGTCAGCACTCCAGGGTCCCCCGCATCTAGAGTCCCCCCCAGACCAAGCATTCACATCCAAGCATGCGCTCACATCAGTCTGTATCAAATGTTCCTCTCACAGCCGAGCTTCCAGCTGCACAGTTTGATCTCAGCAAAGGACATCTGACCAAGTGATTGGGACACAGATGCAAGGCTAGGAGTGGTGACTTGGTGATTATCTGATTTATTGGGCAAATCAAAAGTGACTCTGTTTGCTCCCAATTATAAAACATTCGGGTTCCCTGAGCCCAGGTTTCTCCTCCCAGAGTGTAACCCACTGGACATCTGGGCATCTATTCAGGCCCATCCACATTGCTTCTGTGAGAAATAAAGAAGTTGATGCGAACATGCTAATGATCCTGCTGCTTGCTATGCCACATATAAATGAGCCACACTGTCTCTTCTCCAGGAGTATTATGTTTTCTGCCAACACCCATAAAACTGTGGCAGGCTAACGTGGTACAAATGAGATCACATCTCAGGCTGTTTCCAGTTCGTGATAAGGATAAGTGTCTACAACTAAGCATAATTTGATATATTAACAGTGAGTTTTAAACCACTATTCATTGTGCACATATGAAATCTAGACATCAAGCAACTCTGATTTTAAAAAGAAAATTAGAGCCACTATAAATTCTGACTCCTGTCCTCAACAAAGAGTCTGTTCTGTTACCTACGTTGGCAGCAGAAAAGCAGCTGGGTCCTTGAATGTTCAGGATTCGGGGGTGGGGAGCTGGGTGGTAGTAGGGAATGGGAATCTTTAAAAAGTTTCCTGTGTTCCTACCTTTTCCAGAAGGGGAGGGGCTCTCTGGCTGTGGGGTCACCCTTGCCGTCACTACAGTGGAGGGTGGCACTGGCCTTTGGTGAGTCAGGGAGGGGTCTCCTGGAGAGAGGATAACCACATGGCATTTACGATCCTGAGGGTGGTACTTGGGGGTGGCTTCAGAACTGGATATACATTTTAAAAACCTAAATATACAATGGAGATATCTAACTTCCTAAGTCGGATTCAAAGTTCAGGAAATAAACAGCAGTGTTTTCCAATCCAAATGCAAAGACAGATAGCAAACTTTATTTATTTTTTTAAGATTTATTTTATTTGTTTGAAAGGCAGAGTTAGACACAGAGAGGGAGAGGAAAACAGAGAGAGGTCTTCCATGTGCTGGTTCACTCCCCAAATGGCCACAATGGCCAGAGCTGGGCCAGATCAAAGCCTGAAGCCAGGAGCTGTCTCTGAGTCTCCCATGTGGGTGGAGGGACCCATTGGCCATCTTCCACTGCCTCCACAGGCACATTAGCAGGGAGCTGGCTCAGAAGTAGAACAGCCGGGACTTGAACTGACACCCATATGGCAGGTCAGCATTACAGGTAGCAGCTTTAACCCATTATGCCACAACACCCCAGCAAACTTTATTTGTAGCATTTCCAAAAAAAAAAAAAAACTACACAACTAAGGCATCAAATTTATTTTTGGCTGGAACAGTATTAATGATATTAACTCAGTTTTACAACATTGGATTTTCATGGGACAGTAAACAATTACTCAATAGATTCTGTTTGTTTAGAATGAAAAATCAGGGGCCAGGGCATAGCAGGTAAAGCCACTACCTGTGATGGCGATATCCCATATGGGCTCCAGTGCAAGTCCCTGCTGCTCCACTTCTGATGTAGCTCCCTGCTGAGGTACCTAAGAAAGCAGTGGAGGATGGCCCAAGTGCTTGGGCCCCTACACCTGCATGGGAGACCAGGAAGAAGCACCTGGCTCCTGGCTTTGGATTGGTGCAGCTCCAGCCGTAGCAGCCATTGGGGGAGTGAACCAACGGAAGGAAGACCTTTCTCTTTGTCTCTCTCTCACTGTCTATAACTCTACCTGTCAAATAAAAAAAAAAAATCATTCAAAGCACAAGAGGCTGGGAAAAACAATGATTGAAGGGAGTTGGTGGTAAAAAAAAAATGGAGGAAGCTCTGAACTAGGTGAAACCTAACTGGACTACAAGGTGTCTTCTTCCCTTCCCATCTGCCTGGTTCAGAGCCTACAGCTCCACTCCTTAATAGATTCATTCACCCAAATGACACAGAGCTTTATGGAAATGTAACTTTCCTTACAGTGGAAAGGCCCTTATTTTTGTCCTTGAATTACAGGTTCCAGTGGGTCCCAGGACAGGACAGAGTCAGAGATCCGCTCGGGGTTCCCACAGTTACCCAGCCTCACCTGGCTCCTCTATTCAGTTCTACCCAGTGCCACAGGGAGCTTGATTCCTCAGCTGGATGATTCCTCGATATGAGTGGAAGGGCTTCCTGCTTCCCTTCCCTGTGACTTCTGTTCTGAAGAGAAGGATGGGGGAGAAGGGCTATCTACCACTACACATCCCATGAGAAAGTGTGGCTCTTTGAGGGATCCTCCAGCAGAGTGAGTTCGCTATGGGACAGTCCCCTCCCAGCCCCTGCCCCATACAGGAGTTCAGAATGCTCGCCAATGTTATACAAATTTGAGAAAGCATCTAGCTCACTGCTAGACAGAGCCAAGACTCATTAAGTCAGGGCATGGGTCAATCTTTACTTTTCTAGAGGTGGGAAGGGAGGAGTAGAAGTGGAGCTTAGTATTCATGGAAATAGCACCTAGTGGCTTCCACCTCAACAGCATTTGGCTTCTTTTAGCATGTCTGTCCAGTTGTAGACTGTTTTTAGGGGAAAACTTGAGAACTGTAAGATACCATACACAGTGACTAAGCTAAGGGAAACATTGCTGCACAGGTCTGTTCCAGTCCTTGGGATTGAGCAATAATGGGAAAAACAGCAATAGTTTCCCTGCAGTCTCCTTCCTTGGGAAAAAAACAAACAAACAAACAAACAAACACTAAACTCCCTGGAAAGCAAGTGTGCTTGTAAGCACGTATCCTTTCTGTAACCCAAATCCTTGCTACCATAAATCTCAAAGCAAGCATTCACAGTAGTGTCAGTTCATATGTACCACTGAATCCTCATACAACCTGCAGTGTGAACATGGGGTTCATTTCCTAGAAGACCATCCAGAGCTCCAAGAGATTAAGGGCCTTCCCTGAGACCTCACAGGTACGAAATGGCAGAGCCAATTGTGAACCCAGAATTGTGTGACCCAAACACCCATGTGTCTACAACTGAAGAAGGTGTTTTTCAGTGTCCCATTGGTGTTTAGCCTCCGACTTCAACACAGAGAAGTGTGTTGGCCCTGAGATGGACTCATCTGGCCCCATACTGCATCTCTGCTCTTTGTGTGGCCTTGGCGGGGTGAAGAAGGACAAGAGTAGGAACTGGATACTTACTGATGCACTTGAGATTGGGAGTTGTCCAGTAGGCAATGTTTGTGGTTTTGTTAAACACACACTCCGTCAGGCTGGATGTCCCGGCTTTACGCTTGAAACCTGAGTTACAAACATACCGCTCCCTGGAGCTCAAGTTGTAACTCTTGACCCGGATGGCTGCATGTTCAACAGATGTGGGCGTGGGGCATGTGACACCTATAGAAGTGCAGATGAGAAGGAACAGATAAAAAGATTTCAGCTTGCCAAGAGCAGATCTCCAGGTACAGCCAACAGTCAATAATAGTATAGCCAAGGTCAAGGCTTATCCAAGGGGCCCCTCAGGGTAGACCCCAGGATCCAAGCATGTAGGAGATGTTCTGGAAGGGTATCTCACTGTCTAGAGACCTTCCAGGAGCCACCCTGCATAGCTACAGACAAGAGAGTCACCAGTGACGTCCCCTCCCTGTCACCCTCCAGTTCCCATCCATCCCCAAATCCTCAGGGTCGCCCCAAGCATCCAGCTCTCTCCACTCTGCACTAAGCCTCCGGGCCCTCCTGCTGAGCAAGAAGAGCTTCCAGACCAGTCTCCCGAGAGACTTCAACCCATGTGCACCAGGCAGCCAGCATGACCTGTCATGCATATTTGATACCATCACTTTCCCTGGCTTTCCCCTGCTCGTATTTGTAGGATAAAGACTGACATCCCTAAGAAGTCTCGGAGAGTCTGCCTGATTTGGCCCCATCTACCTCTCCAGCTCTCTTCCTCCTGGCCACTCTGGTCTGGGTTTCCCCTGTGCTACTCACTATCCGTCCACCCTACACAACCCACAACCACCTTCCTGGCTGGTTACTATTGCCAACCCTCCTTCCCAGCTTATGGCACGAGCATTTCCCTTAGTTCTTAAAAGGAGAGGTGGCAACCAACATTTCAAACCAAGGTTGTTGGCCCATGCTTGTTTAAGATGAGGTTCTATCTGATGCCAGAAAACTCCATTGTAGCTGATGTTAAAAAGCAGTTTTTCTTTAGCCACTACAAATAACTGTTATGATTTTTACTATTTTTCTCATTGATGTAACACATGTTAGGTCTTCTCACATGTAGATGAGATGAGCAGGAATTGGTATTTGAGGCCAAGCACCACCCCGGGTATGGAAGGGGCTACCAGTAGGTTGTGTTGGAGGGAGATTCCTGTGCAGTGAGTTTTTGGTGCTTGGAAAACATGTATAAATGCTGAGTCATTCACCAGCTGAGATGCTGGCCAGAGGCCACCACTTGGCTTAACCACATCAGTTGAAAAACATAAAAATCCATGGGCTGCCTATAGCTGCCTGAGAACCTGGATATTTGGTTCCAGATTGGAAAACCGCCAAAAATAATCTCTGCTGAGCAAGCCGCTGGTGCCATAGCAGGTGGGAAGGGTGGGACTCAGACGAAAGAACTGAGCTAAAAGCATTTTTCTGTTCATGTGGGGAGACCACAGAAGAGGCCAAACACAGTGGCTGCACCGGCCAGGAAAGGACTCCTAGTGGCCTCTATGCAAATAGTGGCCCATGGGCCAACCCTGCCTGCTAACCTATTTTTGTAAATCAAGTTTTACTGGCGCATGGCCTCATTCATTCATTTAAGTCGTGTTGATGCCAGCTTTCACACTGCAGTGGCAGAGCAGATGTGGTGAACTGATTTTAAATCTAAAATAAAATATTTATTCATTGCCCAGTGCTTTCTAGAAAAAGTGCTCATTTATGTTCTAGATAGCCTTTAAACAAATCATTGCCTTTGTAGGTAAAACCAATTGCATAGTCAATCAGCACAGTGTACAGGAGACCGAGAGTGATACAGCCCACATAAAAATGAAAACCTTTCTGCATATCAAAATCCAACCTAAGTTAAAGACAAATGACCAAATGACAAAAAAAAAATTACATCTCATAGTGTACTTCCATAAGGCTAATTCTTCTCATATGTTAAGAGCTCTTAAAAATCAGTATAAAGTCCACTAATCCCATAGGAAAGCATAAAAAGATATAAACAGGACATTCACAGCAGATAGCAGCCCTTATAAATATATAAAAATCTGTTCAACCTCATTCATAATCAAAGAAATGTGGGGGCCAGTGCTGAGTTGTAGTGGGTAAAGCTGTGGAGCTGACATCCCATATGGATGCTGAGTCAAGTCCCAGGTGCTCCATTTCTAATCCAGCTCCCTGCCAATCTGCCTGGGAAAGCACCAGAAGATGGTCCAAGTGCTTAGGCACCTGTACCCATGTGGAAGACCTGGAAGAAGCTCCTGTCTTCTGGCTTCAGCCTGTCCCAGCTCTGGGCATTGTGGCCATTTGGGGAGTGAATTAGCAGGTGGAAGATTTTTCTCCCTCAGTCTCTCTGGAACTCTGCCTTTCATAAAAAAAACTATTTTAAAAAAATGAAGGAAATGTAAAATAAAAACTATATGAGATATCACTTATCAGCTGTGAGAAGAGCTAAAAGTTCAGTCATATACTATGCTGGTCATCTATTATGTTCATAAGGCTTGCACAACCCTACTGAGGCCATATCTTCAATCTCTTTATAGAGATTACAGATGCACCTGCTTTCTGACCTGACAGTTCTACTTCTATGACTCTGTCATACAGATTTATCTGCATATTTGTGAAACATTGTTATGACACACCCTGTAAACTAGCAAGTCTATTTATAAGAATCTAATTTACAGATACGCTGGCACATTTGTGAAGTGAGTATGTACAAAGTTATTCATTATCGTATCCAGTATCTGTAAATAACCTTGTATGTAGTCAGGAGGTGACTCATCAAGCAGATTACAGTACAAACACACAATGATGTACCACCTAGCTTTGCCAAACACACTAAGAAAACCCTTTGAGCATTGAAGTGGAGAGACCACCAATACACAGTTAAGCTTAAAAGAAAAGCAGAATGCTGTGTACTGTATGCTACTAGCAGAGAATAAAGGAGAAATAAAACCTATACATAAGTTTTTTTTTTTTTGGTCTGTACATAAAGTCTCTGAAAGGATACACAAGAAACTCAGCAATAGGGCCAAGGCAGCTGAGAAAGATAAATGGAGGCCTTTTTACCTTTGAATTTTTCAATGGTACAAACACTTTGCCTATTGAAAATGCATTTGGGAGTTTTTGTAATGCCCTGTTTCTTTTCATTTTTGTCAATTTACATATTTTATTTACTCAAAAAGAAGAGAGACAGATAGAATTTCCATTGCTTGTTCACTCTCCAAATATCCACAACAGTGGGCGCTGGGCAAGGCCAACACCAGAATCTTGGAACTGAATCTGAGCACCCAAATGGGTGGCACGGACTCAACTACTTGAGTCATCACTGGTGCCTCCCAGTGTGCACCTTAGCAGGCAGCTGGAGTCAGGACCCAAACCCAGGCACTCTAAGATGGGGTACGGGCACCCTAAGCAGTGTTTTAACCACCATACCAATGCCCTCCCTGTAAACTCTGCATCTTCATCTGATTTGTACCTGTGTATTTATTATCCTTTTTTATCCATGACATTCATTATGGCGTAAAAATCAAAATGTTTACCAGTGTCCCTTTCAGACTGACCAGACAGAATAGATGTTGGTGCTAATTTGGACCAGGCTGGGTGACCACCAGCTACAAATGAGAGGAAGGACCATACTGAAGAGGAAGGGCTGTGGTTCAGCCATCTGTATGTTAAGACGGTTCTAAGTATTCTAACTACTTCATATTAATAATAATAATAATAATAAAAGCTAGAGTGGATTTTAGGGTATCTTCCCACAGGAGATCAGAAACCTTGGTTAGGCCTAGGGCAACACAGGAATAAATTATGCTAACAGTGGGTGTTTATTGTCAAATAAACGTGAGAAATGCAGAAGATCCTTGAATTAGGAGTTCTTGCCTTTTTCTGAGCCAGTTACAGCTGTTCAGATTAAAAAAAAAAAAAGCCAAAAAAGTGTGCAGGGCCATTGGGTAGGATCTGGTCATGCTCCAGAACATAACCCACAAGTCACTTGCAGACAGCTGGAGACAGGATGGAATGCACACAGCGTGAAAAGTAAGATCAGTTTTATCAGGAAGAATGTTGCCCAAAGTAGCCAGAGCCGGAACAACTGAAGTTTTCTTTGACCCATAAAACTGGGTTAAAAATGACTCCTCCTTCTAATTAGAAATTGAAAGATTTCAACAAGCTTTTCACCCCAAGATTTTCTCCGATATGACACTGAATGGTTAAACCAGTGTCCTGGTGTCCCACCTGAGCATTTTCATGGGTTTCATTCCTGGGGCACCTCTGTCTAAGACACTCAGTGTAGCTGCAAGTAGACCATTGGTTTAGCAGCTGGATTATCTGCAGGTAAACTGCTGGTGTAGCGGCCAGTGAGCATGACGCCGGTGTCAGCTGGGCAGCAGACCCTGGCTCTCAGCTTTCCTGGCTGAGTCTGGAATGTGCTAGAAACCAGGCCATCCTCATCTGGAAATTTGAGCCTGTAATGACCTGAGAGACCCGTGAACACACGACTCCCAAATGGAGGAGGTGAGCTGGCTACGTTTCCAGATTAAAAGGTGTGCAGGGACCTGGAAGGGGATGCATCATGGGAAATCCAGTGATCATTCACTGCTCGGCCTGCCTTGGTGAAGATTCCAGAGCCCAGGAATGGGGATCTCCATCTGTCCTGGGAAGTGTCCTCTCTCTCTCTCCACTGTGTGTGTTGGGGTTGCTGATTTCTTCTGCATACTTCCCATAAACCAGATTGTTGGATTTACCCAAACTACCCCGTGCCTGATTTCCAGCCATCTGAACCCTCTCTTGGTTGTGCAACATCTGGAGTCCGTGTTGGCTGGCCATGGAGCCTCCCCAGCAGCTTCCTTTCTCCCTTCTCATCTGCTTCCTCTGTTTGCCCCTTCTCAGTCAGAAAGCCTGAACCTCTGCCTCATTGTGGCCCAACTTCTCCTCCCTGGAGCAATCTCTGGATTCGAACATTCCCCAGCTGCTGGCTTAGGTCTGGATGCCCAAGGACAAACTCCACAATCACTGGGATATTTATTCACCTGACTGCTGGGTTTTCGCTTGTGCCTTATACCATGACCCCCATCGGGTCGCTGGTCAGAATCAGCATGAGCCACACGTGACTTCAGGACTTGGCTGGAACAACCTGAAAGGTGCCTGGCAGCCTTCCAACAGGCCAGCCACCCAAGGGTTAGCTGTCAAATTTCCCCCTCTGATTTCAAATGTCCTCACTTGCTCTCTTTCAGCTCTGTGGATGGGGAGAGGGTTGGAGGGGGGGATTTGGCATGCCTCACCCCTGAACCCACCTAAACCACAACAGCTCAGTGGGTCGCTCACTGTAGGTTTTACCTTGATTTACCTGGTCTCGGGAGAGAAAATGCATTGTTTCACTTTCGTTTTTGTTTGTAAAGATTTATTTATTTATCTGAAAGTCAGAGTAGAGTTACAGACAGAGGGAGAGACAGAGGTAGAGAGATCTTCCATCCATTGGTTCACTCTCCAGATGGCTGTAATGGCTAGGCCTAGGCCAAGTTGAAGCCAGGATCCAGGAGCTTCATCTGGGTTTCCCACGCAGGTGCAGGGACCCAAAGACTTGAGCCATCTTCTACTGCTTTCCCAGGCCATAGCAGAGGGCTGGATCAGAAAAGGAGCAGCCAGGACTCGAACCGGGCCCATATGGGATGCTGGATCTGCAGGCGGCAGATTTACCCGCTACACCACATCAACAGCCCCTTAGGTATTATCAAATATGTAAATACACTGTTATTAACTGTAGGCACCACGCTATACAATAGACTACTAATTTACTTTTAAATGAGATCATAAAATAATTTTTTTTTTTTTTTGGACAGGCAGAGGGGACAGTGAGAGAGAGAGACAGAGAGAAAGGTCTTCCTTTTTCGTTTGTTCACCCACAATGGCCGCTGCGGCCACCGCACCGCGATGATCCGAAGGCAGGAGCCAGGTGCTTCCTCCTGGTCTCCCATGTGGGTGCAGGGCCCAAGGACCTGGGCCATCCTCCACTGCACTCCCGGGCCACAGCAGAGAGCTGGACTGGAAGAGGAGCAACCGGGACAGAATCCGGCGCCCCGACCAGGACTAGAACCCAGGGTGCTGGCGCCACAGGCAGAGGACTAGCCTATTGAGCCGTATCGCCGGCCCCATAAAATAACTTTTTTAACTTACTAGTTTTCTTAAACTACTAATTCCTATGAGAAAGGTAATTTGAATTTTCCCTTAGAAAAGAAACCTAGCGTTTAGTCTTCTCTCTTTCTCCTTTCTTTCTCTTTTCCACCCAGTCTTCGAATTGTACTTTGCCTGAATCTCTTTCAAAACAGTTTTATTCATGATCTAGCCCTCAAGCTCAATTTTGCCAATAGATCTTAATTTCAATTTATTCTCTGCATCTGCTCATCTCTCCTGGGTCACCTTTTTTCAGTCTTCACAGTTGTGTGCTGCTTTCAGATTCAGCAACTTGGCCTGGGAAAGCAGTGGAGAATGGCCCCTGCACCCATGTGGGAGACCCAGAAGAAGCTCCTGGCTTCGGATTGGTACAGCTCTGGCTGTTGCTGTCATCTGGGGAGGGAACCAGCTGGTGGATGACCGACCAATCTCTCTCTCTCTGTCTTTCTCTCTCTGTCTCTCTCTCTCCCTCTCTGCTTCTCTGTAACTCTGCCTTTCAAATAAATCGATCAATGCTTACGCATTTCAATAAATGTCAATCTTAGATGCAGGGCAAGTACTGCCAAGCTCAGCTCCTCAGCTCCTCAGCCCTTCTGTCAGGTATTATTGTGATTGCATGCATATTTAGTTAAAGAAACAATACTCTTTCCATGTTGAATAGGAAAAAATATACAGCAACTATGTTTGCTGAGCACACGTTGAGATACACTGTTTTCAAGTGAAAGTGAGCCTTGGCCAGACACTAAGTAAGCAATGACTGCTCTTAGTCTGTAGACTTTCTTCCCAAGTCCATCCAGGTTGTTTGAGGGTAAAGGTCTAAAGTCATTGTTATCTCTCCTTTTCTTCTTGATAATCTACAGAAACCATCAAGTTCAAGTTTCCTACAGTTGAAGGAAGAATTTTCAACCATAGAAAGGGAGGGGAAGATTAGAAATTATACCTAATGATGTTGGAGTTGATTTGGGGTTGGGGGTATCCATATGTAATCACTTTGAGTGTGTGTGTGTGTATGTGTGTGTATATGTGGTATGTGGGTACTTGAATGTGCAGATGGGTTCATGTGTGCCCATTCTGTCCTCTGTCAGCCCCTAGAAGCAAAGCAATGACATATTAGCTGCAATCACCTTGTGCTCACATCTAGATCACCACTTAGGTGCCAGGACTCCTTGGAAGAAAAAGGAGAATCCAGGAAAGCATAAGATGAGCCTAGAACATCTCGCCGTCCAAGAATGTAAGGAAGTACTCAACGAATGATGGACATATGAAAAAGGATATATAAGGAGTCTTCAAAAAGTTTGTGGAAATGTGTGTTATGAAAAACTATGCATAGATTTCAAAAATTTTGTTGGGCTGGAGTTGTGGTGTAGCTGATCAAACCCCAATGCCGGCATCCCATATGGGTGCCAGTTTGTGTCCCTGCTGCTCCACTTCTGATCCAACTTCCTGCTGATGGCCTAGGAAAAGCCGCAGAAGATGACCCAAGTGTTTGAATCCCTGCTACCTACATAGGAGACCTGGATGAAGTGCCTGGCTCCTGACTGGCCGGCCCAGCTCTATCCATTGCAACTATCTGGGGAGCGAGCCAACACATGGAAAATTCTCTCTCTCTTTCTCTCTTTCTCTGCTCTCCTCTCTCTGAAAATAAATAAATAAATAAATCAAGAAAATAAAATAAATCTCTCTCTCTCAAAAAAAAAAAAAAAGATAAAGACAGTAACAGATAACATTTAAAGAAACAAAATAACACTCCCCAAGTCTGTACTAATGCAAATAAATAAATGGGGGTAAAAGGAAAGACCTCCTTACACTGGACTGCTATGTAATCAACACAATAAGGATTAAGGAGGAAACCATGGATGCTCAAGTTTGACAAAGAGCAGGGCGTTTTCGGAGTATGGTGGGTTTGTGTTGTGTGTTTAGCTGAGCTGGACACAAATACCCTTGGTTCCTTTCCCTGCAGAGAGCGCCATTGACCCAGGTCGCAAGGATGAGAAATGGAATAAAGGAACCGCCCTGATGATAGGAACAGGAGTCACGGAATCAAGAACCTCCCCAACAACGATAGGACCATCTCTGACCACAGGCTGCACCACCCAGATCCAAACAAATCAGGAGCAAAGAGCGTCAGGACCCTAACCACAAAAGACCTCTCGACCCATTAGGGACTTCCCTGATCCATGCATTGGTCCAGAATAGCCCAGCACAATGGTCTTTCCTGGGGAGGCTGGAGGCCATAGTGGGTAGCACCACCATTCTGGCAACATCGTGTGCAGAAAAAAAGCCACTGCGCCTGTGCAAAACACTGAAGGGGATCACTTGAATTGGGAGCGTCATGTGCCAAGGGAGATGAGCCAGAGACTAAAAGGACACAACCCACCCAAACCGCCTGCTCAGCTCCCATCAGGAAGCCAGCCGGAGAGACCTCTTTCCACCATGCTGTCTCCTTTATACTGGAGCATAAACTCCTAAGGAACCCTACCTGGGTTAACTGTTGACCACTTGTCATTCTCTGTGACAAGTGACACCAGAAGCTCCAGTCAGTACCAGGCCTTCTCCAGTATACTTGGGGTGAGTGTGGGGTGTGCGGCTCCTGAGGTCACAGATCTTGCTGCTTCTTGGTGGTGCTGTGCGTGTGCCATTTTCTGGACAGCTCAGTTTCTCACTCTTGTGCCCGGAGCCTATTATGAGAAGTGACAGTTTCTCCAGCAAGACACACCATTATGGATGGGGGAGTCTTGAAGGTTTAGGACAACCATGGACTCCAA